GGCACATCTGCTCAATAAATAGTAGCTCTTAGTCCTCTTAGTCCTACAGCATCAACAGAAGAGAACTTCCTTCCACAAGCATAAAGAAAATCCATTCTCAGTGTATGTGGCAGTACCAAGCCAGTAGAAAGAGGAGACTTTGCCATTAAGAGAAGAGATACATGGGACCAACAGTTGGCGTAGTAGCTATTCTTGGACTCTCATGCAGTGAACTGCGGTTTGAGTCCCAGACGCAGTGGCTTAAATTCATGCCAGGTGCGTGTGCATGTATACCCAAGATCCCAAGAGGAGAATGGAGAAGGGATTGTGGCATGGCCATCCCCCCGGGGGGGGGGGGGGGGGATGTGATTTCTCGCTTTCTGTCTCTGGCTGGCGAGCGCATGCGCACTATAGCAAAAACCTCTCCCCCCACCCCACCCCCAAAAAAAGAGAGAAATAAAAGATACAGTGGGGCCATGGTGTGGTAGTTAAGGCAATGGACTTCCACATGGACGAGAGCAGTTTGAGTCCCAGACCTGGTGGCTTGCTTTCTCATTTTTTTCTTCTGTTTCTCTCGGGTGAATGCACATACCCTATAGCAATTTTTAAAAAATAAATAGGGCCGGCAGGTGGCATGGTGTTTCAAAGGTGCTAGATTTTGGGACCAGCAGTTAGAGTAATGGCTGTGTCGCTGTACCCCCATGTAGTCGACCGCGGTTCGAGTCCTGGACCCAGTGGTTTAAACTCATGCCGGGCGCGTGTGCGTGCATGCCCAAGATCCTGAGAGGAGAATGGAGAAGGGATTGCGACGTGGCCATTGCCCCTAGGGTATAATTTCTTGCTTTCTATCTCTGTCAGCGAATGCACATGCCCTATAGCAAAAAAAAATACAAAAAAAACGGTGCTAGATTTCCACATGGCCAACCATGGTTCAGGTCCCAGACTGATGATTGCTTTCTGCCTTTCCCTCTCTCTCTCTCTCTGTCTCTCTCTGATCCAATTAAAAAATATCACATGTGGGAACCAGCAGTTAGCGTAATGGCTATGTCACTGGACTCCCACGTAGTCAACCGTGGTTCGTATCCCGGACCCGGTGGCTTAAAACTCACGCTGGGCGCGTGTGCGTGCGTGCCCAAGATCCCCAGACGAGAATGGAGGAAAAGGGATTGCGGTGTGGCCATCCCCCCTGGGGGGTGATTTCTCACTTTCTGTCTCTATGTCTCTGTCTGGTGAGCGCACACGTCCTATAGCGAAAACCTCTCCAAAAAATAATAATAATAATATCACATGGAATTAAATAAATAATTCTGTTTTGAAAATAAATTAAATAATTGGTAGGGATAAAAAAGGGACCAGCAGATGGTGTAAATGGTTAATGTCGTTGGACACCCATGTAGTTGACTGCAGTGGGAGTCCCAGAACCAGCGGCTTAAAACTCATGCGAGACGTGTGTGTGCATGCCCAAAATCCCGAAAGGAGAATGAAGGAAAAGGAACTGTGGTGTGACCATACCCCCTAGGGGGTGATTTCTCGCTTTCTATCTCTGTCTTTTTCTGTCTTTCCATGAGCACATATGCCCTTATAGCAAAAATCTCTCTTAAAAAAAAAAGATACAGTAATAAGATGTACAATTAGATTGGTTTCTTCCCTTCTCCCCACAAAATACTCTTTGTTTTATGAGCTCACCAAACACACTTTGTTATATGAGCTCACCAGGAGGGGGAGCCGTGGCTGACTGAGGGAGATGCTTAGGAAAGAGTTACATACCACAACCATCACCATTTGTATTTTTAATGCACAAATAACAGACCTTTTAAAAAACTTTTTACAAATCGAGAAGAGACAGACCAACCCAGAATGACTTCCCATGGGGAAGGGCCTTAAAGGCTGCTCCATGCACTTCCTGAGAGCACCGCGCCTACTTTCTTCTCTTATATCTACAAAAAAAAAATGAGCAGAGTGAAGACCCAAAAGAGGAAGGAGAAGCTCCTTTCCCATGAAAGGTTTCTTCTCTAAACCTCTGGCCCTCCAAATTGCACACATCACCTGGATTTGGATTTAAAGCTTCCTCCTCGTCTCTGGTGGGACAAACCCATCTGTTTCCTTTCTTCGAAGGAAGGCCTGTGAATGAGATGGAACACTCAGCCAAATGGGTGATGTCTCCCCGCCCCTCCAGCTCCCATCTGAGGCATCATTTTCAGGGCGTAGGTTCTAAGCTTCTGGGTATTTCCACCCACCAGCTTTCTTTTTTGGATGTCAAGGCCCAGTTTTAAAATAGGGCTGGAAGAAGCCTTCCCTTCCTCTCCTCTACATATCAGTAAGAAGGTAACTTGAGATGCTTGCTGTCTCCACCCAGCACTAGGCCAGAGGTCAGAAGACAACACAGTTCCTGGGGCAAACCAGAATTCTTCAGGGCTCTCCAAGGCTGACCCTAAGATACAAGAGTCATCATTCTCCTGAGGGGGAAAGCCTTTTCTGAACCCTAAAATGTGCCATTTGGCCTCCAAGGCAGGAGGACCCCATCACTGTGAAGAGAAGTAGTACCTGAACACCTTCCTATTCTTACCCTGGGATTCACACATGGGCTTTGGGCCAGGGACAGGACATAGGCTATAGGTGTGAGAGACGTGGGTGTGGGGAAGGAGGGAGAAGACGCACAGCTTCCATCACAACACCAAGGGCTCCAAGAGGACTTAAAATCCTACCCAGCTCGATACTGCTTCAGGGCCTTCTTGCTTGTGTTGGTGAGTTCTTCATCAAATACAGATTTCTTCCCCTGCTTTTGCTTCTTGGCTGTGCACAGAGAATAGATTAGATAATGTGGTTTTCTTTGGCCCAACCTCCTAAATCCTCTTAAACTCAAGGTAATGACTTCATCGGATGCTCTAACATCCAAAGATCATCTTCTCTTCATTCTGCCCTCACTGGCTCCTCCAAGCAGCAGTTGGTAAGGACTTAAGTCTCCAGAGTCAGAAGAGCCAAGGTTCAAATCCTAGCTATGCCCACCAACCACAGGGTCATTCATCCCTTGAGGCCAATAAAGGGACAGGTGCACACAGAAATTGTGGTGTGAGGTTATTATTCTGCATCGGCATGCTGTTCTCATCTCTCCCAACCACAGCACAGGTTTCAGGAAGAACCTGCCACCAGGTTCCTGCGGGATCCCCATCCACCTACCAGGGCGCCCCACTGGCTCCTCCTCAGGCATTGCTCGGGCCCGCTTAGTCCTGCGGTCCCCCTTGGCCAGCCGCTCTGCGAACATCTGCGCCTTGAGGATTTCAAACTGGGACCGTTCCTCTGCCTGGGGATGCAGGGGAGATGAGAATATGGAACAGACTCAGCCACTCCAACCCGCCCCACTGGGCAGCTCCAAACGGGGAGCCCACTCACTGTCATCTCCCCTTTTTTCTTGGCATCCTTCATAAACTTCTTCCTTTTCTTCTTTCCTCTTAAGGCCAAGTCAAACTCCTGCAAAGCCTTGGCAACTGGGATGAGAAGAACGCATGAGATTTCAGGGATGTTTTAATGTCTTTTTAAGAAATTACAATAAGAAGTGCACAGAGCCACCCAGAGGCGTGGTAGTTAAGGTGGCTGGATCCCCCAGGACCAACCGTGAAGTTGAGTACTGTACCTAGCTGCTTGAAAAACAAGCCAGACACATATGTGTACCTAAAGGGAGAATGGAGGCAAAGGCATTGCAGCATGGCCATCTCCCCTGGGGGTTGTATTTTTTTCCCTAACGCCTCACCCCTGCCCAGGGGAGCGCACGCACTATATAGCAAATTTAAAAAACAGCACACATAGTTTTAAAAATGAAACACAACAATCACTTCCTTTTCCAGTGAATTATCTCCACCTCACTTAAAATCATGCTTATTCAACTATTTCTCAATTAGTCCATTTAAGATATTCATTATGTGACTGACCTCCTGTTGTGAAAAATAAGGACTTAGTTCTTTTAAACTACCTTGCACCATCCCACCAAGAGAGCAGTAATGCGATTTAACACTGAAATCTGACACACCTTACTGGTTTGTCCAAGCTAACATAGGAGGTATTTCTGAAATTGCTAGTACAACCTCTACGGAGGGTGATTTTGCAATTTCTAACCAAATTAGAAATACACATACCCTCTGACCAACAATCCCACTTAGGAATTTATCCTGTAAGTAACATT